TTCATTCTCCTGCAGGAAGCTACGTCATACGCGGCTGAAATACGGTTTTAAATACACGGAAGAAGTCGCAGAAAAACAGCTACAGTGTTATTAATAATTAAAAATTAGCGTCAGGGTAAATTTACGCTAAAATTACGCTATTTTAGTATTAGTCCAAATTCATATTATACAGAGAATGTGCAAACCTACATACGTATAGTACCTTCTAGGAATAAATATTACTTCCGTAGAACCTCCTCCTAGGTTAACCTTTGCTAAGTCTCTGTTTAATAATATGAATTTTGACTAATACTAAGTGCAGTCTCAGTGTAAATTTACTTCAACGCTAAACCTCGTTTTAAAAATAACACTGTTTAGTGTTTAATACAATATTTAATTACTGATACTGCTCTATCATTTTACATATAAAAAACCTCTATGTTAGATATCTCAAGATTTTTATTTTTTTAGGGTACAACTGTCGACATTTGTAGAGTTAAGATTTGTTTCTTTACACGACATGAAATCACGTCGCTTAGAAATTAATTGATTAATTTAATTACATTTATTTTTCATGTGGTGCAATATACAGTAAAGATTGAGTATCTTATTACCTACTTTGAAATTATATTTTATTATACAGCTATTAGTGTAATTGAACAAAATTGTAAATCTGGTTTATTATTAAAAAAAGACATGAATAATTTTATATGTAATGTTAGTTTTTTAATTGATCTGAAATAGTAAAAAATAATATAATCTCTTATGTACTATAACCACTGTTATATTATGAAAGATACCAAAAACTATGTACAGACAAGAAAAGGTAATGACAGAAGACAAGAGAAAGCTTCTTTCGCTAATGACTGATCGGTAAAGTGGTGAATGGTGACCCTAAGTGCCAACCAGATGTCTTGTTTCGCCTTCGAAATTACTCCGCCAATTTGAACATCGAACTCATTCTCCAAATTGGCTATTCTGTCTACCGGCTAAATGACACGTTGTATAAGTAATTTACGACGGAAACGTACCATTGTTTATTTGCTGAAGACAAAAGTGTCACGCGAGAATTAAAACAGACCATGATAGTCAGATTTTTGAATAACGTTAGAAAATTCTTATAAAATTAAATTTTTACACATTTTTCTTTTATCTCTAATAATTTAAAAAAAAATCGTCTACCACAACAAGCCATATCACTTGGTGTTACACTATTTGCAAATTTGCAATTTTATTACCCTTAAAAAGTAGCCACAAGTAGTTACACCTTTATCTTTGGATTATTGACTTATTCAATTGAATCGTCCAGTTATTTTCTTATATAATAATATCAGCGTGACAGCATAAAACTACAATGAAACCAATGATATTTATATCATTGAATGAAACAAATTCTTTATTACCTTTTGAAGGTTTTATTTGATTGAACCTCATTGACTCAACATCGAGATCAACGCAGATTTTATCACAGAACAGAAATCAGCTGTAACGTCCTTACGTTAAACGGAATAATAATTCAATAAGAATGAACCTAGAAGGCGTCCCGTTTCATCCTTTTTAAGTACATAATCTTAGAGAGATAACAAAAGAAACAGTAAAAATCGGTTAGCAATGATTACATTGGTATGCCGTGGAAAATATTAGATAGCAGAAACCCACAAATAATATTGCATAACAGCTAAGTTACCAATAACATGACAATTGTAACCAATAAATTGTCCACTTATAAAACTGAGCTATTGCCCTCGAGTGCTAGCTAGCCATTACGTGAGGTTGATTCAACAACAATGAATATATTATATCAAGAAAAATAACATATACGTGAGAAATGCGTCGTCACCGATAGTGGTATATACGTCAGCGATAATGTTATTTTTGAAATTGGTAGAGTTATTTAATAGATCATTTTGTTATTCTCACTCTCATTCGTCCTAAGATAAATAACACTCTTCTAAATAGTTCCATTATTTCTATGTAGACATCACACATTGATGATATTTTAGGCATCTTTTGACCATGAAGAAAAATAGACTCAAAAATCGCCCACAAAAATTAACAAACTACATATAAAAACACTTTTACTAGGAATGACCTAAACTAAGATCGCCTAGGATAATTCCAACTATATATGTTGTAACACATGTCAATATAAAAAAAATAGCACTAATTGTAATTAAAACAGATCTCGATCGCTTTCATTGATCAACTTTCATATCTCGATACAACATATAATGATAGTTATAATTATCGCACCTATACAAAGAATTACACAAGTCAATCATTACTTCAGCTTGCATTGTAAAAAGACTTTCGCCTCTGCCGGACATATAACCAACAGTGGCTATATATAAAAAAGCGAATGATAACTTTAATTGCGACCATTGTGTTGGACACAATATCTTTTTATATAGTTTAAGTTTTTATTAATTTACTTTTAGTAAGTAATATGAACTCCTCGTTTAATTTTGAAAATAGATTTATAAGAAGTTTTAATAGTTTTGGATTTAGCATAGCACTCCGACAAGACCGATTTTTTTTATAAAGATTTATTGAAATAATCTTCAGTGATTTTTAAACAGTTTCAGTTTTATTGAGGCATCACAATCCAACTCAATGTCTATCTGTATTGTCATTTAGAAAATATAATACTGCTATATTTATCGACTGTGGAAAGCCCAAAATATATCAACAATTTCAGATGTATCCCATTACCGATCAACAGGAAAACAAAACATCAATTCGTCATTACAATATTCTCAGTAAAAACAAACATGTCTCTCATAATTGGTAGAAACTAAAATATAAACAAATTCTAATGGACATGCCTAGTTCTATTCAGTGTCAGTGGGGTAAACATGTTGGTTCTACGTTTAACTCATCATTGCCTTCATCAGTTTGTTTGCGGAGAGCAAATATTGTTACCGTTACAACAAGAACAGCTGTTACCGCTATTGCAAACGTCAGGGTAGCGGGGAGGCTTTCCCCGCGGTATGATCCAAGGGAAAGCAAGGACGTGATAAGCATGCGCCTCGATCAGACGCGAACAGAAAACGCCTAATGCCTAATTTATAGCCGAAAGCAATTTTATTAGAAATTGCATACGTGACTGGTTAGATTGAAGCTATAAATGCGGCTAGCGAATAAAACAGTCGAACGGTGTTACGCAAACTGATACAAATTGGACGCATGATGTGAAAACAACACAAGAAAATTAAATCTATTCACATTTGAATACAAAAATTGGAAAACTACTATAAGAGATAACATTTGCAAGGGCTTTATAATTAAATTGGAATAGAAAGTATCAGTACAGTGCTTTTACGCTATTAGTAACTTTATAGATAAAATAGTTTCAGTATTAGAACTATAAAGCTACCTCTAACGTGTATACTTCGATTACGTTATATGAGAAGACAAGAAAAAACCATTGCACGCCTTCCAACGATAAATTTCTGGTGCATACATAATATGTTAGGTTGACACATTCGCACATTGCAGTGAGAAAGTCTAAACGGAAAGTGTCAAGTTTTTTAAAATGGCAATGCATCGCGACTGAAGCAAGATCTACATATCCAAGTTGGAAAGCCAACTTAAGGAATTAAGATATTATTGCAAGCCGGATGTGAGTTTAGAAAACTCGTTATCAATATTACCTAACAAGCGTAACATATTGAGTAATATATAAATAGAAATACTCATTTATCAGAGTCGCTAATATTATCCAATGTTTACACTTAGCACGTAAAATTGCAGTGGCAACTTAATGAGAAAACGACGTGCGAACAAATGTATCGGTGAAAGTAAAATAGTAAATAAATCTGGTTTCAATGCGCCCATTGAGAATTTACGCACACTTCATGCCGATAATGTGAATTCATTTGATGTAATAATTACGACAATTTTGTTTTTTCTAATAAATAACGTATTTAAGGTAATTTTATATCAGAATAATATAGCAGATGATTGGGAATAGAACACGTGTCACCCATTTTGGACGTATAATACAGTGCTTCTCTGTTATAGAATCAAATTTAATTTCAACGTTGAGCACAGCGCTGGCATAACATAGATGTTCAATCAAATAAAACCTACTTCGAAAGGTCGTAAAGGTTTTGTTTTCGACCGACGAGTTCGACCCTGTTTCTTTACACAGAATTGCATATATTATTTACAAACGTCCAAATGTAAAATTACTAACAATTTTCTATTGTGATTATAATTATGACCTTTTGAAAAAGATCCAGCTATTTTAAATTTGGTTCAAAATCTCAATTAATATTCCATAAGTCACTTCTAAGCATTCCAAAGGAATGCACTTGTTACATAATTTATGAATGTCCACTCCATAATGAATTATAGTTTTATGCAAATTTGGTGTTTGGAAACACAATCACTATCCGAAAGCATTAGATAACAGTTATGACACAAAACAAAACTATTTGACCCGAACGCAAGCTTTCATTACTTTTTTATACCGTTAAAATGATACGACACGAATGGTTACGCAAAATTATGCTTAATTAATTTGTTGTGGAAATATTTAGGGCATTATGTAAAAACAGTGGCTAAAAGATAATCAGTTTATCGGTTAGTTTATTAGGAATGTATTAGTTTTATTACCAATATGAATATAATTATCATAAATAAATAGTACCATAAATAATAGACCTTTTACTTACTTAAAATTCAAAATTTATGGATGCTAATGTCGTTTTGACATGGTTAGTCATCAATGCATACTCATATGCAATTCATATTTAGTATGAACGCTTTCAGTTCGACTCAACAGTTACGCATATGTATTTACAAATTTCAAAGCGTTGTCAAATGAATAGGAAGCAGGTCTACGACCCGCTAGCGTCGTTAATATTGACATCAGACAGCTTTCGAGCAAATCTCGCATGACTGGTCTGTTCGGTTCGACTCAGTTATTATTGGCATATCTATAGTGATCTAAATTGTAAGCGTTCGGTTCAGCATCACAAGTGCATGTACAAACAACACCTGTAATTTGTTGTTATCTATATGTTAACAGTGTCACATACCTGTTCGTCCACTTTCGGAGCGTCGGTGGTGCGGGTACCGCTAACGACCTCATTGTTTCGCGCGTTGCGTCTTGCGGGCCGTACAGGACACACGGCCTTTACGTTCTCGGATAAAGTTACACCGAACTTTTTGGGATTGTCAAATTTGCAGTCCACTTCATCTATGGAGGTATGCGGAGGACTCAAATCGTGCACGTTATCGAATGTCGAATCGTTATCGTTCGCAGCGTCATTCGAAACGTGACCGGAATCATCGCTGCAGTCAGAATTTGTATCTGATATAATCTTTTCATCGTTATGTTTATGTAACTCGAGCTTTTTCACTTGGGAGCACGTCTCCGAGTCATTCTTCGATTCTACGTATTTAACTTGCCGGCCGACGAGTGTGCTCAAGTGGTTATGGAAAGTTGTGTTCGCGACGCATAGCTCCTTATGCACCGGTGGGATCACTTTACAGCTTAAGAAACGCGGTGCATCAGCTTTCGTTTCCAAAGCTGTTTTTAGTTCTATTTTTTTCACGATGGATTTCACAGGTGTCAGTGTCGAATCGATTTCCTCCGCATCGTTTTCATTCCGTCTGGAATCCGACGACACGATGACGATGTCTCTTTTGTTTATTTTTCTTTGCTGTATCTTAGCGCGCACCGCATTAATTTCCTCTGAATAATCTCTCAACGAAGGTTTCGGTGACGTAAACGTTTTTTTGTTATCCGGTGCATCTTTCTTAGTTTTATCCAATTGCCGTTTTATTTCTGTCTTTAAACAGAGTTGAGACTTTTGTCTTATTTGTTTATTAGCGTCAAGTTTCTCCATAGGTTTCCTAGGAGAGATCGGCATTTTTTTCTGAGCACACTCTCTAGCCTGGTCTACAATATTTAGATCAACAGGAGTGGGAGAAAATAGAGCCCGAGTACTACTGAATTTGCTGTGCATCATTTGACTCCTTATCACCGGGATCTTGCTGGGAGAGCCCGCGATAGAAGTGGTGGACCTCGTCCTTTCTAAGTTAGGCGATATAATTATTTCATTCCCGATTTCCCACACGCTTTTAGCCTTTTGCAATTGTGATTTTGGAGCTTCTTTACTTTCTAAAATCATCTTTACGTCTGATGATCCATTAACTGTACATGTTTTAGGTTTTGCTTTCTTTGGATCGGTCGTTTTTTTATCAACTTTTTTAGTTAACGGCTTCGTCTTAGATATAACCGGAACAGGTGTCGACGGTGGATTAGATAAAGTCTTCTTTAATATTCTCGTCTTAACATCCAGTTTTTTCAAATCTTCGTTTTTAATGCAATTCAATCGAGACGGGTTTTTTGATGATATTTTGTAAGTGGCATACTTATCTGGATTCATTTTATCGGCTGTAATAGGTGCCAGAGGCATTAGTGGAGAAGTTAGTTCTTTGCTTTTCATGTCGTCAAGATTCCACAAGCTAGTTGTTTTATCAATAGAATTGTTTCGTACCACTTTATTTCGGGTTTTGCTATCGTTTTCAGGATCTGAATTAGTTTTCTTTAATATACACCTCGATTCAATGATACTACAAGTTTTTGACTTTTGTAGTTTAGGTACTTTAAAACCGTTGTTTGTGCAAGTAAAATCGTGAGTCAAAGATGCGCTTTCAGAGAACTCGGTCAAAATTTTATCAAAGGACTGAAGAGCTTTATTTAGCTTTGTTTCAACTAACACTTCCTTAGTATCCGGTTTCCCTACAATAACAATATTTTCATAGATCGATGAATATCCTTTTGTTTCGTCAAGTAATATATCGCGTTGCGCACTGTTCTTAGCACTGACTATGTTTACATTCTCGTACACGTGTTTAGAATCATCCCGTTTGTCGTTCACAATAGAAACACTGTTATTGTTTTTTGAAAACTTTTGCACGTTATCATTGTTTGGTATCGGTTCACTTAAACGCTTTTCTAAGCAGGCGGCGATCGCGGTGACTTTAGTGTTTTTCTCGTTAGAAGTTTGCGACGGGACTGAGAAGGTCCTGTAGAACTTTTGCATAGGCGAACTCTGCGAATCGGGTTGTTTATCGGTCGGCTTCTGAGCTCCGAATATGTTGAATACTTTCACTGCGGGCATGGCGCGGGTGCCGCGCGGGCGGTCGCGGTCGCGAGGCGTGGAGGCGCGCGCGCAACTCGGCGTGCGGCGTGCGTGTGCGCGTCCAGCCGTACTATCGGCGCCAATAAGAAAGCCAATGTCACTTGATGCACGAGACATGACAATGCTCTCGAGTTGCAGCTACTGCAGCTTATCACGACGCAGCACTTGACATAAGTAATGCATCTTTATTTTCTATATTTTTAACATTAGAGCTCATTATTTTGAACCAAATTCTGTTTAAATATTTAACGAATTAATTTATCACAATTTGTAAGTATTTATAGGGAACGACGCGTCAAAGAAATTCGTTTAGACGGCCAAAGTAGTAAAACTCGCGTTAGGACATAACAAATGGAAAGTAAAATTTAGTTTGTTATGATAATGTAGCCTACTAAGACAGTTGACGAGCCGAGACGTATTGAGGTTGCGAAAATAAAATCGGGACATTACTGAGGCATCAATTGCGGCCTAATTAATCTAAAACAGGGTTATCTTGTTACACAGTATTAGATTTAATTCGGTTAATGCGCAGCGAAATTGCTGTGAAATTTGGTACATCACATACTGAGAAACCAAAATAATATTTTTATTTCGTTGCATAAACATTATGTCATAATTTAAAGCATAGTCATTCATTGGTGATATACAAAAACACATGATTAAATTTCAAACCAGTCAGCGAGATATTATTAAAACATCTTTATATATTTAATTAATGAAACTTAAATGATTAATTTGAATATTATGCCATAGAGCTCAATTCTTTTTATATAAGTAAAAAAAGCTAAATATTTATTACTGAAACATGTAGTAAAACGACTAATACTAATTTGTATATAGAAGAAAGATTACTCGAATCAAAGAAATGAAGCTTTGTTGGTTTTAAAATATTGTATAAAAATGTTTTAGAATAAGCAATAATATATACTAAAATATCTTATAATAATTTTTTGGGCATTTACAATTATTGAAGTTTTTATCAATCACTACGAGTCGCAATTTGTAATGCTTAAAAATCTATCGAAATAGCTAGATAGCGAATCCTGCTCCAGAAAAGACTAAGAAGATTACTAGACCTAGGAAGTAAGGTAATCATTTATACTAATATTATAAAGAGAAAATAGAATAGGCTCCGAAACTACCGGACTGATTTTCAAAAATCTTTCACCTACGGGAAGCTAGTGGCTATAATTTAAGCGGGAGTAGTTGCTGGAAAACAGCTGGTTATTTATATTCATAACTAGCTGACCCGGTGAACTTCCTATCACTTACCTCTTAATAAAAACCATATAATAGGTTTATAATTATAATTAGGGTTTAAATTAATAATATTTTCGTGCACTAATAACTATAATGGCGTACAGTATGTCTTTTTTTAGATGCTCTCTAGACGAACCATAGATTGAAAAATATTGCGTGAACTGACCACTACACGACCATAAATATTGATTGTCAACTGAACGTTTGACAGCTAAGAACAGTTTGTATGGGAAAATCAAATTGTCGTTTTTAGTATTATACTCTCAATTTTGTCATATTTTCTCATCGTTTAAAGCTTCCACAACCTTCCACGAATATTTCAAGACTAAAATTTGTCAAATCGGTTCAGCCGTTCTCGAGTTTTAGCGAGACTAACGAACGGAAATTCATTTTTATTTATATAGATAGATTGAGACTTATCGAATCACTTACCGCTAATTATATCTTTGCCAGCTATCGTCCAACGACTCGGAACTAAAGCGACAACTTGACGAGCCGTGTATAAAGTGACACTTTGACTCTAATTAAGAGACGAGTCATCACCGTTCACTAACGAGATTAAACGATCACATATTATGACGTCTCTATGTACATAGAGTAATATTGTAAAGGGGAAAAAGAGAGAAGAGAATTTTTGTATTTTTTATAAAAGAAAAAAATCAAAAAATTCTCGACCTATTCTAAACATTCTTTCACTTATATCAAAACATAGTAGGCAAGCATTGATGTCAATTCCGTTATAGATTTTTTTTCGTTGATGTAGATCAGTAGGGGCTGAACATCAACCGCTTTATAGTTTTATGTTTTGCCAATTGAGGGATTTTTATGATGTTCGTTAAGTAATGCACCAGCCGTACAGAAAAAGGATTTACGTATATATTACTTACAAGTACTTTTAACTTTCTCATCAAACTAACATAGATGTCCCGTAAGGCTTAGTACACAATAACATTATGCTGAATCGAACCAAAAATACACATGTGTGCATTAGAATCGAGTATACGAAGCAAATTGGTGGCTATTCCGCCTTAATTTAATTAAAATGAAACTAAACTCCATCCACTTTATGGCCACTTACATACACGGCGATCTATTATAGACTCCGTAGAATGACAAACAAGTGAAATCACTTATTGCCTTACCCCAACATTAATTAAAAATACAGATAACCTTTAAGTCTGTATTGTACCTAAATAGCAGTTAGAGCTAATGTTTGTGTCAAAATTAAAGATAATTATCACGCAGATTTAAACTTTTTTGGTAGTAAAAATCAGAGATCCTTGGGCGGTTATATCTAGTTTACACCACCATTGTCAAATGGTGCGACTGATAATTTGCTTAGTCCATACTTAAACACTGTTTGTTATTCTTCAAGAAAATTGTGCAACCAAGGTTCAACACCGAACCGAGTATCTAATATAAGAAGAATCTAATAAGATAAAAATATCTAAACGTCTAATATTAAATCGATTAGTGAACCAAGATAAGGTCTAAATAAACATTAATTAATAAAAATAAGATAAGCCATTTTACAATTATTAGTTAGAAATACGGTACATTGCAAATTTCCTCTCATATGTTATGATTGTGACAGAGTTTAGAAGTTAGAGAGCATGCAGATTAGTTTTGAACCGGGTGTCCTAGCCAAATCACGGGTCACTACTGTAAAATAATGTTAACCTGATTTTTTAGGCTCTTCATGGTTAACCCAAAAGGAATGTCAGCATTTTATATGTAAATGCTCGAATTTCATACATGACGATGACGGGAATCTATAAAAAAATACGAAGTGTGAATATTATTTTATAATAATGATTCATGTTTTAACTAGGAATTATAAAAAAAACAAAAATTATAAATACCATATTTCTTAACTTTCCGACTAATTTAAATAAATCTAGATAAAATTGATAATTTCCAATTTATTTACATATATTATATATCTCTGTGAAAAGACAGCAATCAATACGAATGATTCGCTATAATAACTGAATGATTGGTTTTTATAACTATTATACAATTCCCCATCGACCACCTGTCGGCTTCAATTGAAATCGATTAACTCATTTTTTTATTAAAGTAAAAGTTACATGTTTACTTTCCTTTTAAATATCATCGGAGGGCTATTATGTGTTATAAAATTATTACGTCTTAAGATTGATGCCACGGAGGTATGTAACATATTCAGGGGGCCTATTCCCAAAACAAATTTACTATATTATCGACCTACAAAAGTCTCTTTAGCCGTATAAATGCAATCAAAATAGGAAAATAGAAAAAATGGGCTATGATCCATCATGCTAGCCCAATGCCGATTGCTGGGTTTTCACGGCACGACTAACGTGCCTTCCGAAGCTCGGAAAAGCTCGAAATAATAAATCTTTGATCACCCATCCTATGAAATAAAACTACTTTCAACAGGTTTAAAGAAGAAGTTTCCAAATAAGATGTAATTAAAAATTAGAAAAAAATAAAGAAAAATATAAAAATCATGTATTGTATTCACATCAGAATGTCTAAAACTCCTTGAAAATCGTAACAATAATTATCGGTTGGGATTTAGTTTACCTGATTACCATCTCTTATATTGGATGCTTAGTTTAAAAAAAGGGAAGAATCTAAAAAAAATAATATCAGGAATTAAATAAAAAACTGTCAAAACTCCCAATTTGTATGTTTATCTTTGTTCAATTAAATAGTCATAAGGTTTACTACAAGAGTCAAATTTTCTATTACACTCCGAATTCGAAGTTTAAAAATCGATATATATAAAAATTGAGATTTTTTTAGTAATTTGTTGTCGACTGTACATATAAATTCGGCTTGTTAGTTACTTGTACGTTCGTACACAAGAGAATATTCTAACAATGGGCGGACAACGAGCTCCGCTTGTGCAAACAGAACCACTTCACAAATAAAAACCATAACCCTCATTTCCTGTTCAGATGCAGTTAGGAGTGAAGACGATGCAGTGAACAAATACATGTGGTGTGGTCCAAAACATAAGCAGAGTATAATATAGAGTTCGTTCTCTATATACATACGCACCGAAAACGGTTTGTATGTGAGCGCTCCCGTGCGTATGCGTCGTCGCTCGCAAACAGACAAAATTTTTCAATGTTAAGGGACTGTCCCGTACCGCGATTTTTAATCGTGCGAGTTTTATTTCGCATTGACAAAACACCTTGTCCGCATTGCGACTAAAATTCCGCGTTTTTTGTTAGTTTCATGTAGCTCCCGGCCGAGACGAACGTCCAAAAAAGCCAAGTGCGAGTCGAACTCGCGCACGCAAGGTTGCGTACCGGAAACGATAAAAATAATCACGTTTGTTGTATGGGAGTCATTTTAAATATTGATTTTATGCTGTTTTTAGTATTTTTGAAAATTTCAACTGTTTAACTGTTAATGTTCATGATGAGCATAGTAACAGACATACCGATAGACAGACAGTGAATCCTTAGTAATAGGGTCCCCATTTTACCCTTTGGGTACGGAACAAACCTAGCAACAAACCTACATGTTTAGGCTATTATCGCTCGCTCGGGGCTTGAACAGTAAACGTAAATAAATACATGTTGTTTAATATACTATTGCCGACAATCACACTTTTATGCTTATTATATTTATAATATTGCTTAATATTGCATTTTGTACAGTTTCAAGAGTAAACTAAAAGTATGTGAGAATAATGATTGAAAATAAAAAAAAATATATTTCTATCACTTGTACCATACACTCATAGGCATACGTTAGAAGAGCATAAATATTTGTTAAATGCAGTTAACGCCAATCATGATAACGGGGTTTTTGTACTTATATAACATTAATAATAATATATATGTAATCGTACATAAGTA